ACATAGAAGAATACTTGTTAAAACCAATTATTTAATTATTGAATATGTGGTTCTGTTGTTCGATTTTGTACAATCCAAGGATGTTTCAAAACATCTTCCAGAGGCAACCTTTGATCTGGATTAACAACTAGCAACTAAAAAAAAATGAGAAAAAGTTTAACATTGCAAAGTAATAACAAAGTGTGTAACTTGCAGTTACTAATGTAAAAGATCTCACCTGGGATATTAAATTTCTTGCTCCTTCGCTAACGTAATCTGGAAATTTATATTGAGCTTTTTTTATTCTGACATATGTTTCTTCATAAGTTTTAGCTAAAAATGGTGGTGTTCCAACTAAACATTCGTAACATAAAACACCAAGACTCCATAAATCTACAGTATGATCATGTGTCTTCCCAATAACCATTTCAGGTGGCAAATAATCTAGTGTCCCACATAAAGTGTTTCTTCTGGAAGCAGGAGCATGGACAGACCATCCAAAATCTGCCATTTTTAATTCACCCTTCATACCAAGTAATAAGTTTTCAGGCTTAATATCACGGTGTATGACTTTCTTGCTATGACAATATTTTAGGGCATCTGCCAACTGAGATACATATGTAGCTGTCCTAATTTCATCAAAATGTTTCTCTGGTTGTGAATTTAATTCTTTGAATAACTCTCCATTTGGAGCATATTCTAAAATTAAGTATACCCTTTTATCGTCATGAAAATAGCCAAACATTTTCAGTATATTTGGATGTCTGTATTAAAAAATAAATACCTGTTAATATTTGAAGGTAATTTTTCTTCATTTCAGAATGTCATTATTATCATTATTATTGTAGTAAAAATTGAAATTTGATACAATATATGTATATATTGTCTTACCTCAAATGTGTTTGAATTTCTATTTCTCGTCTTACTTGATGTTCTACATCAGCTTTTTGTATTTGTGCCTTAAACAACACTTTCATAGCAATAATAAATTTTGATTTCTTTTCTCTAGCTAGATAAACATTGCCAAACTTCCCTTTTCCTAGTGGACGACCAATATCAAAATCTGTCAAAACCCATTTTTTCTCACTTTGATATTTATTCTTTGCACTACATTGTTTTTCATTCTTCTTTGTCTCTAAGTCTCTGACATTTCTGTTTTCTTTGTCATTTTCTTGATCACTGTTCTTTTGTGCATATACAGCCTTGTTTGAAGACAGAGGTAATTTTGGTGGTGGCATCAATTCCATAGATTTGTTTGTGTTTTCTACTATCTCCTTATTATTTGCTAAATAAATATTACAGTCGTTTGTGGCAGTGATTATATTATCTGAATTATGTACTGAATGTTCACTTGATACAGATGATGCCTTAGATATTCGTAATTGTTTAAAATTATTATGTACTTGTGAAATTACTCGTTGCGATTGAGAATTGGTGTTCTTGTTCTTATGCATCGCTAAATGTGCAATGTACTGCAATTGATAATAATGCAAATTAATATACAGATATTTATTGAAACTCAGTCGGTTAAAAATTAAAGAAATAGTATTTTTAACGGCATATAATTTATATTATAAAATTATAAATTACTTCTTTAAGTGTACACAATTTTCATATGAAATGTCACAATGAGAAAAATATTTTGAGTTGAATAGCTGAAAGAATTACTGTTACTAATATATTTCGAGTAACAAATTTAAAAATTTTTTTACACTAACGTCTTTTTTCCTTAAGAAAACACTAAAACTGGCACTTAATTAACATTAGTGTATACATTAATATAGGATAATGTATAAAATACTCACATCGACTTCCACTGCAGAAGATTCTTGCCAAAAATGTTCAGTTATCTCTTCTGTTTCATTTCAAAATAACGAATTTCCACACTATGCTGCGATTGGTCACAAGCTCATAAAAGAGAATTACAACTATGATATAAAAAATACAAGATTGTTCACTACAGTAGTGTCTCTCTATAGTAAGCCCATGCGGGGGCCACCGACTTTAATTATGAAGAAAGTAGAGAAACTCTCCTCTGATTGGTTGGTGCTTCACAGCTAAACAGTGCTGCCCTCACAGTTTTAGACAAAGAGTGGAAGTAGTGAATGAGCAAGAGAGCACGAGATCAACACAACCACAAGTGAAACAAGTCACACCGACGACCAATGTAGTTTGTCTCACTTCACCATGCTTGTGGTTTCGCTCTGAAACGTTCGGCGCGATATTCAACTTGTACTTTTCGCCCCGTAGGATTCTCGATCACCCAGCCTAGCGTATGTACGAACGTTTTCCTATATTAGTTTACTTTCCGCTGTGTTGTAGTGTATTAAGTACATTTTCTTGAAATTAGATTATGTGCACCATTATGTGTACATAACTATTTTCGAAAAAAATGTACTTAACACGTTAAATGCCACGCCGCCCATATCTGGGTGACGGTTACGTTCCCGCAGCAGAATTTTGGAGGTAATTTATAGTAATTTTATTTGTAACACAATTATGACGAGTATAGACACTATGAGGTAACAATAAAGTATAAAGTAAACAAAAATATACTTATACTAATAATAAAATAAAATGTTAGGGATATCTTCGTATCCCTTAGTGCCTCATCCTGGCCGCCCAGAGGTCGCCGCCGACGCGTCCACCGCGTACCACTCTGCTTGTTTCTTATGGTCACAGCCTGTGGGACCCATGTGCACGCTAGCCACATTTTGTACTAATGTTCATTAAACCACGTTGTCTTAAGTAATTAACCTGTGTCTCTCACTTCCATACCTATTATCATAAAATATAAAATATACTTATACTAACAAATTATACTTATATTTAAATTTGTTTTAAAAATATTATAACATTTTATTAGTTACGATGGAATCCGTTGAAACATTATAGACATAATTAGGGTGACTTTGGACACTCAGGACAATATGTTAGTCTCGTGTAAATTTTTTTGTTTGCTTTGTGGCGCCGGGAAAAACTACCGATTCACGCTAGACGTTCAACGTGTTAATACATGCCTAATACATTTTGGCTCTACAATCCAGAATTTGAATTATTGCTTCTAAACTGCCATATTGAATTTTAGTTCGTCCAAATTTGCAGCTAGTTCAGATAGCAGTCAAAACAGTGCCCCAAAACTTTACTAAGAGTCGAGCCTCTCTGGACTCATGGTCCACAATGGTACAAAGGGTTAAATAATATTTTTCTTACTTAAGTAGATAATAATTCCACAGTTTCTTCATCTAATTTTTCCAATTTTTATTTGTTGAATGCATTCTTAATGTAGACATGTATGGGTCTGATGTTAAAAGAAGTCTATAAAAAGTATCGCGATTTATAGTAATCCTTGACATTTTTCTGCTACTTTTCGTCCTGTATGTTTTTTAATCTGTATGTTTGGTTTCTTGTGTTTTCTCGGACAACTGTCCAATAGAAAGTAGTGTATGTCTTACTATGTTTACTCCGTGAATGAGAAGTTTGTAGGTAGAAGGAGGCATGTAATACCATTCATAGTTTTTAATAAAATAGTTCGCAGTTTCAAAAATATATACCTGAAATCTTTCGGATCAATTTCATATAGGGATTTAAAAAAACGATGTACGGTGTTTTCGTCGTTTGAGCTACCTCAATCTTGCTTTACGACAAGAAGACCCAGCTTTTTTCTGAATAATTCCTGGATTTCCTTCCTTCTTTCTGCTTGTAACTATTTTACCTCTAGTTTGGTTACTGACCATTTTTTAAATGGCAGATTATATGGTATATGCAATAAAAATTCAAAACTCTGAATCCAGGCATGGATTGATGAAAGGCCAAATGAATAATTACTAGTTGTATCGTACGATTTGGTAGATACTAGCTCTAAATTGTTCATTTCTACTGGTGTAGCGTTGCAGATGTAAGAATGCATTGTTGACATTTTACCTGTTTTGGTGTTGCATACTTTGTTATCAACCAGTGTTAACATGTTATACTTTATTTCAATATTTCCTATAATAATTGATTTTAAGTTGTCTGTTTCCCTATTGATTCTATTTACTTCTGAATTTATAATATCCGTAACATTCCAAATTCAAATTTAATGGGACGACAAAACCACGCATTTGATGAGCGTGGATTTTCCCATACAATTTTTTGATTCTCTGTATTGTGTAACCTTAAAGGCACAAAACTAGATATGAAAGTTGAATCTTCACTTGTGGCATATAATTGAGATTTATTTGTATCTGGGTTGCTCACTGATTCCATCACAACCCCATTCACGTGTCAAAATTAATCTGCTATTGCTTTCCAAAATCTTTAATATTTTTAACAATCTTGTGATCATATGGTCTAATAAATTTTATAATTTGATTTTAACATAAGTTTCTGTAACTGTTATAGCACTTTTTGGAATATAACAATTTCGCTTTTCAGTTGTTAATTTATAATATGAAGGAAATGAATTATTTTCGCATATCATTGCTTCATTGCTAATGCTAATGTAATGATATGTTGAATGATCTGCTATTATACATATACATGTTTAATTCTTCTGTTGTACTAACTAATCTTCTCTTCTGACACTCTTTTTTCTTAAAAATAGTCATAATCTTGTCATAAAAATTGTATCCCTGAAGGCAATAAAGAAGATGCGCTTTATGATGCATTCCATGCAGCTTGAAACTTAATTTTGTTGCACGTAGTTACTCTTCTAAGGAGAAATTGTCAACTAAAGAGCAAGCTCTCCATAGTCGCCCTCTACTACTATAATTTAAAAACAATGTTTTTCCGTTATATATTTTGATAGTAGAGTTTGGTCTTAATACTTTTGACATAGAATGGCTTGTTGATGGAATATTTAACATACTAATTGGATAAATAAAATCAGTCTCTAACCATTTATTATCTTGTTTTAAAAATAGCTTTTCAGTATATCTTGCTTAAATCCATTTTTGCTTCAGTTTCTAAGTAAATTTCATTAATGACTTCTTTAATGTTTCCATATCTTCTGTCAAAACCTCACCAGACTCTTTTATTTTTGCAATAAAGAACAAATAATCTCCTTTATCATTTGATGCCATTCTTAATTGGGAGTACAAATCTTTATATTTGTGAAATGCGTGCATTTCTTAAATAATATCTGAATAATAGATAAAAATTGATTACGTGTGAGTTAGAAAATGACTTAGAAGTAGAACATAGGAACAAAATTACTTACCAAATGTATGCAAAATGAAATGTAGGAATTTAATTATACGTGTAGCTTAACATAACGAAAAAATAATGTATTGTTATCTATAATAAACAGTAAAAATACTAAATATATATGTACTATATGTATACTAGACGCACTAATATAAGTACTTATAATTTATTAAATTCAATATGTATTGTATAACTTAAAAATGTCAACAAAATATTGTATGCTTAAATTGAGAAAAACTTTGGAAGACTGCACAGACTTAGGATTCGTAGTAATCCATACAGACATTGCATCTTATGGGCTTTTCTGTCTCAGCACTACATTGTTTGTTGTGGTCGTGATTTGAGCAAGCTGCTGAAATCAGTTGTAACTGGCCAGGCCAGTTACAGTAATATTCAATAATTCAGGATTATCCTTTACATTAGCTATATTGGCTAAAAGTAATTTGGTAATTTTGAAAGCAACATTCTCAATAGCATAAAATATTGGAGTGTTTTCAGTTTGATATCTTGAGCATTTATAACAGCTTCATAGCTCATCAAAAATTTAGCTACTTCTTCCTTTACAGGTGTAAAACCTATAGATGTGTGTTGAATTGTGTAACGTATTAACATCAGCATCATATTTCAATAGGCCATAAATAATTTTCAAACATCCTTCTTCGTAAGCAGCATATAATAACTTAGGATTATTTGCATCTTTAGGGTTAAGAAAAACCTCAACAATCTTTTTATACTCTTCTCCTTAGCCGTGCACTATGGTTTTAACAAAGCTTCTGTTACCTTTAACTCCATTTTTTATATTGACGTCTTGTAAATTTTGATTTTGTCTTTTTTGTCTCCCTTGATACAATTCACAATTGCTCTAATTTCAGCAAGATTGTCTTTAAAAACCTTTTTACAGGAATGTCAATATTAAGTTCAACCATTTCTATAAACGATCTTACATCTGTCTTTAACTCACTATGCAATAATTTGTAATATGTTGTACCTTGCCCTTTCGAAACAAAGCATTCAACCTTTCCACCGTAAGCTTCATCTGTATACCCTGATGTTATGTGTTCTGGATCAAATTCTAGTTCTACTAACACATCATTTACTGACTGTAGGCTTTCACTACTTATATAATATTTGGAGATTTCAACTAAGTGATATGCATTACTTAAGTAATAAGAACCTTCCTTAAGAGTTTTCCAAGGACATGGATTCTTTTCTGATCCATGTGGGTGTGACATGGAACGCAACATAGGAAGATAAATGTTAGAAAATCTTATATGGCACTCGGCATTACTTTTAAGCATTTCAAATTGGATTTTTAACAATTCTCCTGCAATATTCATGTGTTTATTAACTGTAGCAATTGTCAATAATGTATCCCTTTGATTATCATGTGTATTCGTTATAACTAAGAACTCATCATACTTTACTGCTCTTAGCTTACTGATAAATTCAACATTACCATTTTTTATATCTCTAAACAATTCTTCGATTAATTCCAGTAAATTAACAACTTCCTGATCCTTGGAAAGATTAATAGGTATTTTGCCTTCTTTATTTTTAATGTTATAAGTTGCACCACATTTTAATAAAGTTTTTACAATTTTTAAGAAGCCACCTTTAGCCGCAACATGAAGTGATGTAGTGCCATCAGCAATTGTTCTAGCATTAATAAAGTCATTTAGTTTATCAAGACTTACATATCGTAATAAAATTTCAACAACTTCTGTGTAACCTTTTAAAGAAGCTGTATGTAATGGCGTATTGCCCATGTTAGTAATTTCAGCAACTTGAGCACCGTTTTTTAATAAAATTCTTACAACATCTATGTTGCCGGTGTTAACGGCATAGTGTAATGGTGTTCTTCCATCGTTATCTTTGAAGTTAACAACTACCCCCTTTTTGATGCAATTCTCAACCGCTAAAGGGTTAGCATTTTTTATGGCCTCAATTAATTTGTCAGTAACAGCAGACTGTAATCTCTGTTTGATTGTCTTTAAAAACCTTTTCACAGGAATGTCAATATTAAGTTCAACCATTTCTATAAACGATCTTACATCTGTCTTTAACTCACTATGCAGTAATTTGTAATATTTTGTACCTTGCCCTTTCGAAACAAAGCATTCAGCCTCTCCACTGTAAGCTTTCTCTGTATACTCTGGCATGTGTTTTGGATCATATTCTAGTGTTACTAACATATCATTTACTGATTGTATGTTTCCATTATCTATCGAACCAGTTACACAACATTTATATAACTCAACTAAGAGATATGCATTTGTTAAGTAATAAGAACCATCCTTAAGGGTCTTCCAAGGATAAGGATTCTTTTCTGAATCATATGGTTGCGACATGCTCCGTAACGTAGGAAGGTAAAAAAGCTCAGAACATTTTATATGCAACACTGCAGCACTTTTAAGCTTTTCAAGTCGATCCTCCTCATATTTAGAACTAAACTGTAATTGATCTTTATCTGGCTCTTCCAGCATTTTTAACAATATACTTGTAATATTCTTGTGTTTATTAGATGTAGCAACTTGCAATAATGTACTCTCTTGATTATCATGTGTATTTGTTATAGCTAAGAACTGATCATACCTTACTGCTCTTAGCTTACTTAGCTTACTCTTGGAAGAAGCTATATGCAATGGCGTATTGCCCTTGTTAGTAATTTGAGTAACTTGAACTCCGTTTTTTGATAAGATGCTTACAACATCTATGTTGCCATTGCTAACAGTGTTCTTCAATTCTTGTTAAGCAGTCGTATAGGCAACACCATTGTTTATATTACTCGCGAGTCGTTTATTCCATACTCAGTGAATAGTGTGTGCTTCACTGCTTCTAATACATAGAAGTGTATCCAAATCAACCACCTGGCTATAGTGGTGTGCGTCCGTGTCTGTGTAATCTAACGGCACGGAGACCGATCCAACAATGTCGCTAATTCAGCTACAAATTTTAAGAAAAGGAAACAATTACACAATTGAAACATTACCGAATTCTACCATCAATGATGTGTGAAATGACAAAATATGAGTTATCTAAATCAGTCTCAGATAAGAGAAGAAAAATTTACCTCACTCTAGAAGCAATAGAAATTTTGTCAGGTACACATGCACTATCCCAGACAAAATTATGGCTAGAAGACATTCCTACAAGTAATATCTACAGTGTTCTAACACGCACAAGCACTGACGAAATTCAACCTGTTAACATTACAATAACAAAATCAGTTATCATACAGTAATCATACAAGCTCAAGTCATAGATCTGCTATTAGAAGTACTTGAACAACAAGCAGGCAGCAATAATTTTGTTCTAAAATAGCTGAAGGATAATCAAATAAGATTACAATGAAATACATCTGAACTTCACAGAAAAATAGTAGACACTTCAAAAAACAAAAATGCAATCTTCCATACATTCAACTGAAAAAAAAACCAATAGAAGTTACAAAGTAATCCTCCAAAGAATGCATCCGAAAACTAATGTAACCAAAATTATAGAAGAATTAAAACATCACAATCAATCAACAGCAATTAGCAACATAGTCAAATTTGATTCCAAATAGCTGTTACCTCTCTTTATGATTGAATTTGAACCGAACAACAATAATAAAAACATATACAATATAGATAAACTACTAAATACCATAGTCAAGTTTGAACCCACAAGGTCAAAATGAGACATACCACAATGCTTCCGATGCCAAGCCTTCGGATACAAAAAATTATTGTCATAATTTACCTGCATGTATCAAATATGCAGTCAATCACTTAACATTGCAATGCCTGCAAAGGGACAAAGTAGAAAATGTTAAATGTAGTAACTGCCAAGGAAATCACACTGCAAGCTACAAAGGTTGCATAATATGGAAATATCTCCAGCAAAAGCTATTTCCCATATTGAGAACAAGAACTGAAACTCACCTGAATGAGTATTAACCATACCACACATATACAACACTTAATCCATCAATAATTTTTTTATAAATTCTGAACAACAATCAAGTAACTGCACAACAAAGTATACAACACCATAATCTAACTCCTGCCACTCACACAAGCAACCACACTGAAAGTCATACCTCTGAAATGAAACAACTGTTAAGCCAGTCAATCAAAAACCTAGAGCTTATAACGAATATGTTAATTACACAAACCTCACTGTTGCAACAATAAATGCAATAACTAACTGACATGATAGAACCACCTACAAAAATAATTAATAATAATAAATAATGGAAGGAAAATAGCAGCCTGGAACAGCAATGGACTACAACAGAGGCTATACAAATTAAAAACATTCATTTACACATGATATTGACATCATGTTAATTTTTGAAACTCATCTTACAAATAAAAACGATGTAAAAATTCCAAACATCTATCAAGCAAAGCTTATGGAGGAGCATTATCAAGAACAGCATAAAACACCACCTACATAGAACCAATACACTGGCCTACCTTTAAGCAACTACAGTCACAGTAGAAGTCAGAACTGGACCAATACAAGTATCTACCATCTACTCACCTCCAAACACAAGATCATCTTGGTACAGTATAAAGCCTTTTTCCACTGTCTAGGGAATAAATACTTAGTAGCAGGAAATTTCAATGCTAAGCACCCATACTGGAGATCGAAGAGAACTTTTTTCAGAGGCAAAATACTTCTCCATGCTATGGACAAACTTAAATTGACACCATTATCAACTGATGAACCCACCTACTGGCCTTCAGTAATATGAAAAACTCTGGACTTTATAAATTTTGCCATAAATAAAGGACTAAACAGGATACCCCTTAAAATATCATCAAACTTAGAATTAAGCTCCGACCACATACCTATATTAATCGAATACCATAAAAACACATTACACACTGAAGTCACTTTCTCTCTATATAACAGCACTACGAACTGGAATAACTTTAGATTAATTATTGACAGAAACCTAAAAAGTAAAGTACCATTAAGAACATTCGAACACAGTAGATTACCTGACACATATAATTCAACAAGCAACATGGTTCACAACCACCATTCCAAAAAGAAAAATCCTGGCTTATTATATCCAACTATTATACTACAAAAAATAAAGCAAAGAAGAAAGTTAAAGCACAGTGGTAAAAGTTTAAAACAAGAGAAATCAAAAAACAATTAAATGCTATCACTAAGGAAGTTAAAATAATCATATGAGAATACCAGAATAAAGAATTCAACAAATACCTCTCTAACTTAACACCAGACGAATCTACAAATTATTCACTCTGGAAGGCGACTAAAAGACTAAAAAAGCCAATAATATTGACACCAAGAATAAGAAAATCAGATGGCATCTGGGCAAGGGCCTCTTAGGAACAAGCTACATTTGCTGAGTATTTATACCAAACGTCACCACCACTGCCAGCAATAGTATTTACATGAACACTTGATAATAGAACTAAAAACAGAGGTCAATACAACGCTATATATGCAGTACTACAAAAACAGATAAACCGATTAATCTCTTCCATCAAAATTAAAAAAACACCAGACTATGATCTCATACGTGGAAAAATAATCAAGAAACTTCCTGATAAAACTGTAAAAATGAGCACTATAATATTTAGTATTATTCTAAGAACTCACTACTTTTCAAGTTCATGGACCATTATTATCAAAAATAATACTAATAAGACTGGAGAAGCTCCTCAACAAATATCATCCGATTCAAGACCATCAATTTCATTTCAGAGAAAAGCACGTCACAATTGACAAGGGGGGGGGGGGTCTACAGACTTAGAAATGAAATTATTCCTGCCTATGAATGCAAGAAATATTTCACATGTTTATTCTTAGAAAAAGCATTCGATAAGGTATAGCTTGAAGGTTTGTTGAAATGTATAAGACAAAAATTCCCAGACACAATGTATGAACTTTTAAAATCCTATCTTGATAACATAAATTTTTATATGAAAGCAAAAGACACGTCTTCAACCATACATTCGATAAATTCGGGCATACCATATGGAAGTATAGTGAGCCCATTATTATACACCTTATTTGTAGCAGACATTCTAACGTCACCAATCAGTTCAATATATGTATACGTCCATAGATGACATTGCAATAGTAGCAACACACGAAAGCATGGAAGAAGCAGTTAATATTCTGCGAAACCACATTCACCTATTGCTAAAATGGAATTCTTGCAATCAGTAATATTAAGAACGATAGTAGACACACCTTGGTACATTAAAAACGAAGAACTACAGAAAGATCTAGAAATTATGTACTTCTGTCACGGAGGAAATCCAACACTCGCACGCAGTCTACGTGACGCAGATACAAATCAAGGTTAAATTTATTTTTATATTATATTATCATAAATTTAATCTCTCAGCATTTTCTTACTGTTCGTGGAATTTTCATTCAAAGCTAATGTGACCAATGACGTCAGGGATTTTGCTCGGAATCTGCTCCAAGTGGCGGAGAGGTAATCTCACAAACCTGATCGCTTTACGATTTTCTTCTAGGAAAGTAAGAGTGGGATTTTCATTGACAATCCATTGGAGTTGTCCAATCCCATTTGTGAAATCTCCTCTCCGTCACTTGGAGCAAATTTCGAGCAGAATCTCTGACACTATTGGTGGATGGAGAAAGTCTGCTCTCATTTTCTCTTTATCGAGGAACGATCGGACTGCGTTTTTGTATAAGTCTGTGATGGCAAGCAGGGCCATCAAACTCCCTAGAGGAGCGCGTTGGGGGAATGGCTTGGTGATGTCATCGACCCCACAAACTTGCCGCTAGGAACTTTTGCGAAGCACCAGTTGCCAATTTAGCATGTACAGGGTGTCCCAAAAATGTCTTGCAATCCGGAAATGGGGGGTTCCTGAGGTCATTTGAAATAACTTTTTCCGTAGCGAAAATGCAATCCGCGGCTTTGTTTACGAGTTATTAACGGAAAATAGTGACCAATGAGAGGCGAGATCAGCTAGCGAGAGACGGCCAAGTCAATGGGCGGAACTGAGTTTCGTGCTCTCATTGACTGGGCCGTCTCGCATCAGTCGAGCTCGTCTCTTATTGGTCAGTGTTTTTCACTAATAGCTCGTAAATGAAGCCGCAGATTGCAGTTTCGCTAAGATAAAAGTTATTCCAAATGACCTCACGAACCCCCATTTCCAGATTGCGAGACATTTTTAGGACACATATAGAGGAGTCACGAATGCTCAGAATCGCCGCGCTTTTCCATGTTATCTTCTGTCCAGGTTGCGTCGATTGGTGAGGCGTGTAGCAACCTCGCGAGGGAAGATCAGGGAGAATGCCATGGGTGCCGTTGGATTTTTACACCATGGGCCTCATGCCGGGGGTCTGGAATAGGCTTCTCCGATGCACAAGTTTCTCCCATGAATTTTCAATGTTGATTTGTGACTCTGATGCACAAGTTTCTCCTAAGAATAAATAAAGCTATCTTCCTTCAGGCCCGCTTGTCCTCGTCATTCTTCGGCTAGGTGGTTCTGATTCCATGTGATGTGTGTTTCTGTTCCTTTACTGCTTATAGCTGACATTCCTTTCCTATTATATTTCCTACTCGTGTGACCGACTAATTTTAACTTGATTATTTCACTGGCTAGGTATATCTTTATCACTGTTACTACTATACTGGTTTTCATGCTATTTGTTATTCGAATAAAGCGGGCTATCATGGCGATGAGGATTATTAAGATGGCGTCGATCTAGATTGCGGCGACATTACCTGTATGTAATATGAATAAAGCTCGTACGATGTTGCAAGTATCGAAAGTTTTTGTAGGTATTTAACGCGGGAACAATGTATTTTTAAAAGCTGGCAACTCTAAATTTAGTCACTTCAGACACATACTTGGCTCTGTTGCAGTTAGATGTAGTTTACTACTAGTAGTAGAACTACTAGTGTAGTTCACTGTTCCATTTAGGTAGAGTCCGCTAACGTACCAGATTTAGGTTTTCTTTATTTAAAGTGACACTGTCATTCTTTTAGTACATCATTTCTTATTGCAATCTCACTACTTTGTTTTCTCTTTGTGTACAAATATTGTCTTATAGTATTTCAACACAACATAACGTAACATCTTTGTCTTAAGCTAGAAGAAAAATAAAAAAATATAACATTTTTCCTTCAAAATTAGTAACGCTTATATATACATGGAATATAAACTATAGACTGTCCTCTCTTTCTCTCTCTGTGTGTGTGTGTGTGTGTGTAACATTATTTTCTTATATAATCTTAAACCATTCCATTATAATCTACATCCTTTTACTTTTCTAACTTTTTTGTACTATATACATAGATTCCTCTTAGTCTTAATCTTATCTCAGTCTTCATGTTTATTTTTTATTTATTTTGGTCTAGTATCTACTTGATATTATGTTTTAGTTTCCACCCAGCAGAGTTGTTTCTGTTAATATAGCTCCCTAGCTATTCTGTCTTTCTCTTGCGATTGTTTTATTTTCATTTTACTTAACCTTTCTATTTATGTTCCCTCTACTTTCATGGAGGGCAATCCTATTATTATATTATATGTACGGTTCTATAATAGCAACCTTTTATTGCCATGTATGGTTCGATCACTTTTGATCTCTCCATGCCGACAGTCAGGGATCCCTATCTATTTCGCATAGAAATTCCTTGATGGCTGAAATTATTTTAACTTTGTAGTTCGCTAATATCGTGTGGGTGTCTTCTCCATAAATTTCTATTTCATTCTTAATCTCTCTCTTATTATTATACATGTAAGCAGCATTTGAAGAGAAAATGATTTATGTTCTCCCCTCTCCTCTTGTCCACAATCACACCATGGGTCCTTATGTATATCTTTCCTAAATAGGGAGGCATTAAGCTTATAACGATTAGATCTTAGTTTGTTTACCATAGCGATGATTTTCTTGATTCTTGTTTTTATTTTATTAAACCGTGGTCTATCCTTGACCTATTTTTTTTGTTTTCATATTTTATCGTAGTAAATGGCTCCTCTGTTCGCGTATTCTTTGGCTGTTGCGTCTGCCTCTTCGTTTCCTTCTATCCCGACGTGTGCGAGGACCCGTGCTATTATTATTTTTTGAAACTCGTTATTATTTAGCCCATTAATTATTTCCGTCACCCACGCTAACGTGCTACAGCATTTTCTGCAGAGTCGATAATTCAGACCCTGAGATAGAAAAGAAAGGCGACATATTATCAGCTGCTGGTAATTTTGTATAGTGGTTTCAGCGTTTTACCACTATCTATAACGGTGCTGAACGACTCCTTGAACCAAGCGGCAAGTTTGAAATGTTCTATAGTAAAAGCTTATATTTAGAAATCTCTGCTACGCGCGAACTGATTAGAATATAGTCTTGTAAACATTCACAAATTGTAGACTACTTTATAGAAAGGGAAGAGGAACGAGAAAAGTTCTATCAGCCAAAAAATAAAAACAACATTGGACTTGATTATTGTTCTACCGACGATTATCTGGTTCCTCGGGATATTTGTGCATGATCTTCATAACGGGTAACCATCATCTGAATTGTATGGCTGACTGAAATTGTGATTGTAGCTAGATAGCTGGATAACCCGTGACAGAATAAGGTGGTTCGCTTTTACCTACCCAAATCGTAGTTGGATTACTGTATTGATAGCACTGTCCGACACGATTTTTGGGTTCCTATAGCCACTATGAAATTCTTGTAGAGCTTCACTCCCTGAACAAGAATCCGAAAACCGAATGGCTCCATCACCCTCAGTTTTTTAAATAAACGAACTTTTGTAAAAACCCAAAATTTTCGACAAAAATGAGGTATTGCATGAAAAGTACAAAAGTTAGAAAGTTCTAATTGGTGTTAAAAGATAGAGGAGAGTTTCCCGAATATAGTGGCATGCAATTTATTAATTGTTTTTGGTCCTAAATAGCAATAAATTGATGTCAAAGTTTAAAAAAGTGTCGACGTTCGCAGTTTCTCCGCTATGTTTTTGTATTTTTACGAAAAGTTTTTTGTTCAGCACGAAAACTCTACTCAGGATCGGATTCTGTAGACATTTCTAAAGAAGAAACGGCCCGGTAAAAGTGTCGGAACGATATACATTTCGAGTAGATCAAGAAAATGTTCAACGGCAACATGTACACGACGTTTTGCCGCCATGAGCTCGCTGCTCGCTTCTCTCTGCCCGACAGGGTCGAAGCTACGCGTAATCAACACCGATGGAGGGATCCACTGGCGAGAAGTGCCAGAGCAGATAAATCGGCCCTTGCCTT